ATGGTATGGTCTGCTTCCATGACAACCCAGAAAAATACAACAACCCTGCGATGCTCCATAAAATTGACCAAGAGGTGAGCCTGTTCGCAAATAAATGTCTTGAACATCTTCTAAAAATATATTTGGTAGTTATTTGACCCAACCTCTGGGTCCCGATTGGTTTGCTGCTTCAGACTTGGGTCCCGATTGGTTTGCTGCTTCAGATCTGGGTCCTGATTGGTTTGCTGCTTTAGACCTGGGTCCTGATTCATAACTTATCTCTGAGAATCTCTCTTACTGAAAATGAGTGATGCCGGTTTTGTCTTTTCGTTTGTGTTTTTAGAATAGGACCAGGAATGCGATGCCATGAGTGTAATGCCCAAAAGTGATTGGCGGGGAGGGGAATATATTACAGAATTCCAAGATGTAGCTACTAATTTGTCCTTCAGCTCTTAGTCAGAGCTGCAGCAGAATGAGTACATACACATATGGGGGGGGGTCTGGGTGGGTGTATGTAGTTGGTTTTCCTAAGGGCCACGACAGACTATAGAAGCAGCTAACAGATTATGCGTGACACAGACTCTCCTGCAGCTCAGATGGTGTCTGTGTAGGTTTTGCATGTCGATTGCTAGCAGGCTGGGCTATTAGAAATACTCATTTGTTTTGTTTTCTCCCTAAAAGAAGTGATGTCATGTTTTGGAGAAGCACAGGCAGGCCTCAGCAATTATAAGCCTTACATATAAGGGTTATATCTTTGTGCCTAAGATCTCCTTGGAAACAGCCGCTCTGTTAATAATCTTTGTTATAGGATAATTCATAATGATAGATTTTTCTTCCCTTTGTCTGCTGTGTGTTTTTTTTCCTCTCCTGCTTGGATGGGTCTTCATCAAAACAAAACACCCTGCCTCCCTCCTTCGTCTGCCTCCCTGTCTCCCTGCTTCCCTCCCTTTCTGCCCCCCTCCCTGTCTCCTTCCCTCCCTCCTCCCTGTTTCCCTCCCTTCCCGTCTCCCTCTGAACACAGATGCTGAAGTGTATACAGCTGGATGAGAAGCTAAAAGCCATGGATCAGGAGATCACTGTAAACCCGCAGTTTGTCCAGAAGGTGAGCTGTTCCAGCCAGGTGGCTGGGGGTTCATCCTGCAGAAGTGGCAGCTTCTAATCCTGGGGAGTGATCATGCTCTCGTAGCCCCTGAATGGAGAGCTTTACGGTGAACTTAATTCAGTGAAAACAGCAGAATAGAACGGCTACATGTAAATCCTTAGCACGTGTGTGCTCTTCTAAGAAATCAGTCACATTTCTAAGCAACTCCATTCACTTATTTTTTTATATTCTAAGATCATTATATTCTAAATTCAACTCTTTTGCTTTTTAGAGGATTTTAAAATTATTTTTATTTTTGCAGACCATGACTAAGAGTAGAGGCTGTTAATATTTTGATTGATTAACCCAAGTCTAATGGGCGTCACTCTACAGTAATTTACTAGGTGATGTCTGCAAACCTAAGCTAACATTATTATATATAATACACATGTACTGTCCAGCGTATGATGGGGTTACACGCTGATCAGCTCGTCGTAAGCCGAGTATGAATATGATATATATCATATATGATTGACAGACAAACAAATAGCAATAAATAAATACATGATAAATTAAGTAAGGAATTTGGGGTGTAAAGGTACACAGAAATCACGGTTCGGTACATCTTTGGTACAGCAGGGTCAAAGAAACAAAACTAAATGCTTCTTTTTTTCTTTCTTAAACAGTAGTTTACTGAACAGAATATGGCTGGTTTTCGTAAATGAAAAGTCTGTCAATACTGATGCAACCTACTAATAAACAAATTAACTTGAAAGTAAATCAGAATAAATATTCCCTCAAGTAAATAAAAATAAAATAAATATCCATTAAGGTGCACATTTAGAAAATTAACTGTACCTGATTTGTACTGTATTCACATTCGCAGCTTTCAGCTTCATATTAGAACTGTGCAACACAAATATTGTCTCAAAAAAACAGAGTAAAACAAATTAAATATCCGTTATGGTGCAGCATTTAAAAAATACCTGTGCTGTACTTGTATTCACATTAACAACGTCCAGCTTCACGTTAGGACATACACGCTTGTGTAGCGACGCTGCTTCATCCGGCCCTTTCCGAATGTCGCTCGGGGGAAACGCGCAAACACACAAAGGTTCTGCATTAGCTACATATGCGTACCGAACCGAAAGACCTTAAGGTACTTAAACTTTTCGGTACGAATACGTGTACCGTTACACTCCCAGTACTGTCACTGAATAAGCAAGTAAATCATTTTAACTACATAAATAACAGTAGTTGAATACTGATTAAATGAATACTTGTTTATTTGGGTAAAAAGAGAAAAAACACAACACGATACGCTGTTAAACATTGTATGAGATGTTTACACCCAAGATGGCTACAGAGATTGGAAACATGACCACGCGGAAGCTGCCGTTGCCCGGTATCAGTAGAAGATATCGTTCGGGATATCGCCCGATATTGGAAACATGATATCGTTCGGGATATCGCCCGATATTGGAAACATGATATCGTTCGGGATATCGCCCGATATTGGAAACATGATATCGTTCGGGATATCGCCAGCCTGGGAACAGATCAAAATTCGAAGTCTGATGACTGCTGAATGTGCATCGCTCTCGCACCATCGTGAAGTTGAACCATTGTAAATCGAGGAGCATCTGTATAAGACAGAGACCAGGAAAAAGAATAACAGACCTGTGAATGGATGGCAGGTCTCCCAGTCGAAATCTGTTGATCTAAACCTTTTTCAGATCTTATATATATTGCTTATTCAAGGATAATAGATGCTTTTTAGGGTGTTTTCCAGTCTGGTCCTTGGGGATCCACAGACAGTCCTTGTTTTGGGAGGTATCAGGGAGCAAAAATGTGGACTGTCTGGCAGGGAGCAAAAATGTGGACTGTCTGGCAGGGAGCAAAAATGTGGACTGTCTGGCAGGGAGCAAAAATGTGGACCACCTGTGGGTCTCTGAGGACCAGGCTGGGAAACACTGGGATAGTCAGACAAAGGTTATGGACACCACCTACTAGTGTAGCCTCCCCTGGTTTCAGTTAGCTGTACACTGTCACTCATCCCTCGTTACCTGTCCTGTTCTCTTGTTCAGTCCCATGATGCTTTTGGTTTGTTCATTCTGTTGTCGTTTTTGTCATTGTGCTGAGAGCCTGAGTGATACAGACCATAATTCCCACCCCATGTTTCCCATCGCAGAGTATGGGATCGCAAGAGGACGACGTCGGAAGCAAGACATCAAGCTACTCTTGAGGGTTTTTCGTTGGTTTGATTTTCGTTTCATTTTTTTTTTTTGCTTTGGTTTTTTGGAGGAAACGCAGTCTCAGATCAGATTCTTGTAAGAAGACCGTTTTTAAAAGGAGGGAAATTCTGTTGAGCCTGGACGTTGTTCAAGAAAACACAAAGTCACACAATGTCTCGAGGAAAACTAAACAAAGTTTGTCAGTGTTTTATTTATCAATGTTCAGATGGAGGCCTCATTGCCATAAAATACGAAAATAAAAAAACTGGACTTATTTGTTCAAAAATAACTGGTGAAAATGTTTTTCACTTATTTTGGTTGGTATATTTCACTTACTAGGTGTCTAATCAGTGAAGAGGAATAGTATGAAAACGCTACAGTGGTCTGTATGTGAAACAGAATTTCCAAAATAACTCAAGAGCATCGGAAGTAGGGAGATTTGCTCCTACCAAAGATGACGAAGATGCTTTTGCCAGGGCAGAACAGATTTTCTTTGAGCCTCTAGGGGTCGCCCGTGGTTTTGCGTGCAAAGATGTTTATTAATCAGACTGAGAACCAGAGGGTGCAAGAAATGCGCCAAAAAAGAAATTTAAATTGCTGAAGGTCTCAACTGACCGTTTAGGGATGCTAGCTACGTTAATTAGAGCATATTTTACATTTCGCCACATTTCCTATGTTTGAATTATTAAAGTGTTTTCACGAATTTAGTGTTTTGTATGTCTTAGTGCAGTATTTTAATTATCATATGTGAGAAATGTTGAAAGAGTACAAATAATTCACTTTCATGGGGGGTTAAATGAGAGTCAGTACATGCAAAGGAACCTTAACATTGGGGCTGGATGAACAGCCCTGTAATAAGACTGGGAGGAAATAAGTTTTGAACAGCAGTGCGGCGTTGGAAAGTTATATTACATTTAAATTTTAGCATGTTAATATTGGAACTTTGCTTGCCTTACACGGCAAGGTACATAAGATGAGTATACGTATAAATCGTAATTTTCTTACTGTTACTTTACTATTTGCGTGGTAAAGAAGGATATCGGGAACATTTCGTTGGACATCTTTCTGCATCTCAGATGGGCCACTGTACCTAATTTGACTTTTGTAATGTGCCTGCATTCTTACCAGCAGCTCAAGAACACGTTAACTGTTATGGGCCCATCGGAGGCGTGGGTCGATGCTCGGATTTTAAACCATCAGAGCTTGTCGCGTACGATTAGTTGGCCGCAAAAATGAAACTCCATGCGAGGACTGCGTAAATTAGAACCGGAAGTGGCGTCAATTTACGTGCGGTGGCGTCGGAGGATTGTACAGACGAGGTGTTTGGGGTGGTACTGAAAACCAAAAGCAGTTAATACAGAGTAACGCAAACACTTTAAGTTTAAGTTTGTTAAGCGTATCAGGTTGTGAGCTGCACGTCAAAATAATAAACGATTAATAGCTCCCCACTGACTAAGAACTTGGTGTGAGAGGGCGGAAACTTTTTTTCTTTGAATGGCACTACCAAAGACATATAAAAGAGCTCGTTTCGCGTTTATTATATAACCAATTGGAGCGTTCAGACTAACAGGTCCGCCTTGTAATGAAAAACAGCGTCTGGGAGAGCCAATCGCATCTAAGTTTATAGCGTGGAGGGCGGATTCTTTACGGAAAATGACACTCGCCTGGGCCTATGCGCCGCGAGCGCCCACTCTGCCTCGGCCTACCAAGACAGGCGAAAGGTGGGGCTTGGCGACGCTCGCCGTGGTTCTGTTAAAACCTATTGCCGACCATTAAAAGAATCGGGAGTAGGAGTCTTGGACAATTCTCGAGTAAAGGAGCCAGCGGTATAAGGCAACTGGGGGCAGAAGTGAGGGGAGGGGGCGCGCAGCCACTACAGACAGCGACGGGCCAGTTAGCTTGATGTTAGCCCTGCATGGATCCTACGCCGCCTGGCTCCGGGGCTAGCGGCTGCGCTGGCTAAATCGGAGCGTATCTGGCCGTGTGAAAAAAAGCCTCTGGTTTCCCCCCAGGCACGTTTGATCGCGTCTTTTTGAAAACGTTGCATGTCGCTCCCGTCATGAGTCCGGCCGGCTGCGCCCACGTGAGCGGCTTTAAGGTGGAGAACTGGAAGCAGAACCTGCGGGTCATATACCAGTGCTTTGTGTGGAGCGGGACTGCCGAAACCAGGAAACGCAAGGTAACAAAAAAACAACAAGACACCAAACCACACGACCAGCTACCTTCACGCAGGTCCAGGAGCTACTGCAGGGCAGTTACATCCGCAGCATCGGCGGCGGCGGCCACCTAGAGCCGCACAGACATTAAGGCGATGGACCTTTGGTGTGCGTGCAATGAAATATCAGCCTCGGACACGCTGAGAGACGCTGCGCTGCAGTGCTGCACTGAGCGTCCGTTGAGAGACGCTGGCGATTAAAAAATTGGGGGCCGGTACGGGGTGGGGGGCGTGTGAATGAGAAGGTGGCTTGATGGCGCTCTGGGTGACAAGCGGCGTGTCAGCGTGACCCAGACGTACCATCCAGCCGTCCCGTTATCCTTGTTGTGTTTGAATCCGCTGTAGACACGTTGGTAGTAAAATTGGGTGGAGGTAGGTAGGTGGGCGGGCGGGTACGGGGGATTGGCACTTGCGAGGGGTGCTGAGACGGACAGCATTTGGCTTTGTTGTATGCTGGGAGTCGAAATGCATGGAGCAGCACCCCCTTCCCACGGTGCCATGCCGGCTGGCCCGGCCCCGTCCTGAGGCGCGGACGCCCGGCGCTGTGCGCTGGAGGTGAGGTGACCAGCCAGTGTTGCATACCAGTTCACGCGGTCACCTGTTTTCTGCGGCGTTTTCCCCACTTAACAGCAGGCGAGACGGTTTAGTTTCGGTTTCATTGTTTACCGTCTGACCGTAAGTGCGGCCGGGCGCCTGCTCCCGTCCCGGGTCCCGACCGTTTGATTGGCGGCGAGAAGCGCGCTCCCGTGATCGTGCCCGCGCCCGCCACCCAGGCCCTCTACACACTTTTATGCTTTATAAATTTCATCACTCAGTCTGCTGTCATCGCCACCCCCGTGTCAGACAATACGCGATGATCTGAACTTAAGCTGTAACGACTGTAATATATAATCTGCAGCTGTTCGACACTCTGTCGGCTTTTTGTATTCATTATTATTAATCATTATTATTATTATTATTATTATTATTATTAGTAATATTATTTATTACAAGCACCAGCGGTACCGGGTCTCACGGACTACACCCTGCTAATCTCCCGAAAGGACGATGAGCTCACCGTACGGACGGATTCCGCAGTGCTTTACGACTCCCAGTCTCTACCCAGACGGTTGTTACTGACAGCACAGTTTGTCCCGTTTCGTTTTTCTCGCACCCACCATTAAATCTGCCTTTCCCGTTTCCTCACTTTTACCACCTACTCGCGATCCACGTTTTCATGATAGCTCCGTTTTACCTGTTGGTTTTGTGATTCTCTGCCATCGATCCTGGATCTATTCTTTATTACGCATTTATTTACCCTTTTTTTGTGTAAGGAATGACACATTCCTTTGTGCCACCTATTTTAATTGGTGATGCACCAGTTCGCCATCATTTCTACGGTGTTCCTGTATTAGTGCATAGCCGAGCATGTCTGACAAAGGCTGAGGGGCCTGGTTGATGCTCCAGGCAGTAAATATGTGCCGGGCTTTGTGAGAGAGCCAGAGAGCCTCTCATATCATCATCCTCAGCTGACTGCGTATGAATCGGCCTTCGGTAACATTGTGCTGGTGGGGGCTCTTTACCGGAAAGTTACATGACCTGCCGTGCTGCTGGGGGTCAGTTCTGTAATGATTTACCCGTCAAGTGATGTTTTTAAATCCATGTGGCCTTTCACGTTTTGTACAGCTGGCTCTTATTCCTGTTAAGGGCATTGGAGATGGTTTGGGCTTTTAAATGGCAATCTTCTGATTTAAAAGGCTCCTGTGAAGCACCATAGCCCCCCCTAGCCCCCCGCAGGCCTATGATATGGAGTGCTGAGGTGTGTTCTGTCACTGGAGCGGTGTTGCCTTGCAGGTGACCCCCGGTGGAGCCTGTCCGCCTCGCCAGGTCACCAGTCGGGTCTGGTTCCTCTGCTCGACCAGCTACCAGTTATGTCTGGTTCCCTCTCCTCTGGGTGCATGACCGCTGCGGCAGTGCTGCGCAACAGAACCAGGTCACTGGGGGCGGGGCGGGGGGGGGGGGGGTGTAGGGGGGGGGGGGGGGGTGTAG